AGAGGTAAATTTTTGTTCGTGTGCGGAACTAATTAAGCACTACGCCATTAAGGCGTATGTTGAGTAGATGTATAGATCCACAATTTCTTGACATCGTCACAAGTTGGAGGTGAGTGTTCAGCTTCACGTCCCGGCTGCGTTACATCCGCAGAAAGAGCTCCAGTTACCCGTCGTATAGGAGGCTGCGTAGGCCCCAGAGCCGGTCTGGACGACGTCTAGAAAAGAAAATTCTTGACCCTAACGGGAATCCCGTCCAGCCCATAGCCAGTCTCTGTACAAACTGCTGTGTCCCATTAGATTAATTTAAAATGGTTTAGAAGGAAGCGGTCGTGGCCTAACTGAGGCACTATCCCAACCCTCGCCTGGAGGAGTTGAGGAACATCACAAAATATCCGGCAGGATAGCTGGAGTCACTTCCGAGTTTCGAGCACGATGCAATTTAAATCTGAAGCAAATACGCGCCTGGAACTTTACCGCTGGGTCATTCTTTCAACAGAGAGCCGTGTAAGGGCGCGGTCGTGTCCTAATGTGAGATACTGTCTGGATATTTGCCTGGAAGGACGGAGGAATATCAAAGAGACCCTCAGTCAGGATGATCAAGATAACCGGTCTCCTTGCCGAGATTTGAAGCTGGAACTTCTCGAATACAAAGGACTACTAGATGCTCAACAGCGACGTTTCATCATAACCATATCATTGGTCAACCAGTGTAACATAAAACCCTCACTTGCCTATTCATTTAATTATTATCTCTCCTACAACAACCTGTTTTCTAAAACCTTTAAAAGTTTTAAATGCTAAAATCTTTTCTACATCACTGGTGTAAGCACACTACATGTTTCTAGCAACATTGATCATCTTTAGGTGACTTTAAAATTTCAGATGAAACTGCTGTGCTTTCGTCCGTATATCTGCGTTGCAGCGTAGCAGTTGCCTCTTATAATTTAAAAGAATCTGTCTAGGCTTTTTATTTGACATAACTTATTTACTTTTTTTAGTTTTTATCTATCTAACATGCAACTTTTTAAAATGTTTTAAAGTTTTAAATGTTAAAATCCCTGTCGTTCTGTATTGGTGTGAATCTTGGTCTCTGACATTGGAGGAACATAGACTGAGGGTGTTTGGACCGAAGAGAGACGAAGTGACAGGAGGTTGGAGAAAACTGCATAATGAGGAGCTTCATAACTTGTACTCTTCTCCAAGTTTAATTAGAATGATCAAGTCAAGGAGGATAAGGTGGGCAGGTCATGTAGCACGAATGGGGGAGACGAGAAATGCATATAGGATATTGGTGGGAAAGCAAGAAGAAAGAAACCACTGGGAAGACCAAGGCGTAGGTGGGTGGACAATATTAAAATGGATCTTAGAGTTATAGAATGGGATGGTATGGATTGGATTAATCTAGCTCAAGATAGGGACCAGTGGAGAGGTCTTGTGAATACGGTAATTAATCTTCGGGTTCCATAAAATGCTGAGAAACTTTGTAGTAGATGCAGAATTGGCGACTCCTCCAGAAGGGCTCAGCTCCATGAGTAAGTAAGTAAGTAAATGTTAAAATCTCTACATCACTGGTGTATGCACGCTAAATGTTTCGACAAATATTGTTCATCTTCAGGTAACTGTAAAATTTCTGATGAAACAACATTTGCAGCTACAAAAGGAATGGAAATTTCGTGATTACTGGAAAACGTGTTGGATTTGAGGTTCTCACGACAATAGCTGTGAAGAGTGCGGTCTGTCTTCTGGGATGTACGAGTAAAACCGTATATTTCTGTCGGAACCCACTTCCCCATGCTTCTTTCTCTTTTCTTGCTTCGCTTATTTTTCTACCCTCAAGATGGAGTCAGTAGATTCTTCCGAAACATAGCTGAACTTATAGCAGGCTGCACGACCTTGCAGCCCAGAACATAATAATTTCTCAAACGAAACCCCAATGTTAAGAATGTTAACGACGTCACGTATTAGATGTTTATGGTAATTTGGGCGAAAGTCGCGTGAGAATTAAGTGATTTTTTAAAAGAGAACTGTATTTAAAATAACGTGTTTAGATCTTGTAACAAGAAGTTCCGAAAGTACGCACCAGTATGTTGCATACACATCCGAACACGACGAAATGTCTCCGCAGACACTGCCTGGAGCATCATGGGCGAAATGTCGGCAGTGATGCTGATCATATTGGTTTTCAGTTCATCCAGACCGAATGGGGTATAGCGGCAGGCATTTTCTATAATATAGCCCCACAGAAAAAAAAAATCTGCTGGTGAAAAATCCAGCGAATGTGGAGGCCATAGTCCTTTCGAAATGATTCGATCTTCCAACAACAGGGATAGCCTGCGCATAGTCTCCCGTGATATATGAGGTATTGCGCTCTGTTCCTCTAATACATGACATTATTAACATTGTTATCATTGCGTTGTCGTTCGAAAGATCACCCAGCAGTACTATTCAATATAGCACTTTCCTGAGCTCTGATTGGGAAATGCGTTATCGTAATCATTATTGTTGTAATGTCCATCCCCGTGGTACCACCAGGGAGCTTCATGTGTTCTCATATTCATAGCTGCAGATTAAGAGAAAGCTTTTCTGTGGTTATTACTGATCACCCAATCTGTTAGTAGAAAAACTGACAACCTTGTTTCGATGAAAACGATATGAGAGTACTAGGCCGCGCGGTTAGTCGCTGGCTTCCCACCGCGGGGGGCCGTGTTCGATCCCGGGTCTGGTCAAATGGGATTTTTGGTGGATAAAGTGGCTCTTGGGCAGGTTTTCTCCTAGTATTTCGGTTTCTCCTGCCAATCTTCATTTCACCAGTTGCTCCATAATCACCCTCACCTATCATCTGGGGCTGTTACAATAGGCCAGATTTGGCCGCAGTACAAGGGACTTAGTCCCACTCCACTAGCAATAAAAAAACAGGAGAGCACTAATAAGACGTTGTACAGATCTTGTAAAGTGTTACTTTCTACTGCACAAACTTCCAGGAGTGCAAACTTGTGCTATGTTAACGCTTTAAAAAGCTAATCAGTAACACGAGTTTATAACTCAGCTATAAAACGAAATCGAATGTCGAGGTGGAGTGAGTGGTACTTCTACTTCGTATTCGAGAGAGCCAGATGTCAGATATAGACCAGGAAACCTTGTATCCTGGTTGAAGTCTTTGTTGGTTTCCCCCAACAATTTCCGGTAATCGTCTTGATAATATCTGAAATTAGGTCACGGTCGTACGTACACATGTCTAGCCATGCTACTCTATGTAGTCTGAGCTAAAGAGAGCATCGTTATATAAGCCTAAATGAATAAGATATGCAGTACCGTAGTTGACTGAGCCCGGAAGATTGCCGGTTCAATCCCCGACGAGGTCATTCGATTTTTCAATTGAGCTAATCTTTCCAGCCGCACTATTGCCCTGGGGTCGGCTCAGCCTTTAACAGAAATGAGTACCAGGAATCTTCCTGGGAATAAGGGCGGCCGGCGCGTAAGGCTGACAGCCTCACCGCGGTCTGTGAGTCGATTATCTAGAAAATGTGGGATCCTTCACTTCTCACAATCGTATGAGTCTCCAAGGCACGTTATAGGGATACATTTACAATTTTTACATTAATTCAAGAGTTGGTGCCTTGAATTCTGTATATTTTTTGTAGGATCATACCTTACTCGAATCGGAACATGTTTATTACTTGCGGTTGTAAATATGTTGTTGGGAATCCTCTTACTTTAAATTTGAATGATATGATATCAGCGGTTTACCCCACCATCAAAGGTTACCACTATCCCAGATTTGTACTGTCACCGGAAGCTGAAGGCAGCTGGCTCCTCTTAAAACATTGGTAACCACCTAGAACGGAGTTTTTCTACTTTCTTCAAAACACGGTGAACTGAACAAGGGGCTAAAATTATCAAGGCGTATAATGATTTTAAAGCGGAGATTTTATCATTAAAAACGACTATTAAAATTGTTTTCAAAAGTTCAATAGCTAAAATTCTAATCGTTATGTTATTTTTAAAAATAATATTGATCATGGATTTCAGAAGATTTTCAAAATTTATATTCATATTTGTTATTGTTCCAAATATTTAAATGATATATGCCTGAAAAATTTGTAATTTATAAAAAACCTACGACATATTCCATTGTCCCTAAAGATGTGAACCCTCCCCTTCTCTCTCTCTCTCTCTCTCGGTCACACACCCCTTTCTCTCAATGAAATAGCGAAAAATCAAGGTTTCAATAAAATAGTTTGCTCTGATAAAAAAAATTACAGATATATTAATGTTCTCTATATACAGTAAGTATAAAGAGTGTAAGAAAAAATAAATATAAATATGAGTAAAACTAAAATATCTTTATGTCGGCATGAAAATATCAGTGGGAAACCTGTGCTTGGTGATGTCTCATGATGTGCCTTCCGAGATCGGATGGTTGACAAGCATACACGCAAGTCCTCCAGTGTTGGAGCCGCGACCTGTTCTTGCTGTTTAATGTGTTCATAGCAGAGAAGCCAGCCTCACATAGACACAATGTAGAGAAAGCAAGGAGGACTTCAATCGCCTTCTTTATGATAATGACATCTTCATTGCGCAGTGCTTAATTTCTGAAGCACAGGGACAACTTTACCTTTGTCACCTTACCTGTGAAATTACCTCGATTATTTCTTATTAATTAATTTTTATCCCTTCTTTTCTACCTTCCCCAAAACTCCTTCGGCACACCTTCGGACCCTTCACGTCGCACCAGTATGCCGCGGCACATCGGTTGAAAATCGCTGACATACACGTAGAGGCCACAAGGAGTCGTAATCCACAATATTACAAACTAAATTATGTAAGCTGCTTAATAAATTGGTATAAGAATGATTAATTTTTATTAAACCATCATAATTATTAATTATTTTCATGTCTGAGATTTAAATGTCCAAAGTTTCTCTATAGCGCTGTAGATAAATTGTTTCCCCACAGAACAGTGCACTGGAACAAATTTGGCTGTGTTTGGATTGCTTCAGATGACGAGGTACAAGCAAGCGGAGTTTGAAGAAGATGACAGCAGTAGTGTGGGTTCTGTCCAGCTGACAGAAGGGGTCTCTGCCACAACCACCCACATCAGATATCACACAGTAAGCCCACCAGAGTTTCTTAATAGTTTCAAATTTGGTTACTAATATTGGCACTTCTCATGGAGCGTGAAATATTGGATTAAGTAGGCCCATAGAACATACATAAGTAAAACTTTCATCTCTAGAATTAAACGACGAAAGCCACGTTTGATAGGAAACATATATATATATATGATTTTCTTTCCCTTAAATCCACAACACTTAGCAGATATTATAACAGCATCTATACTCTGTAAAATTTGAATCTGTCATGGCGAATAAATGTGTCAGAACTCTCTCGTGCCATCAGCCTTATTGAATTCAAAACTAACGTTTCAGAGATATCCTCTGTATCCATCGTCAGGGTCGATCATCGACACAGGAAATCTCTGAAACATTGGTGTTTAATTCAACAGTGACACGCTGATCACCCGAGAAGATGTAAGGGCATCTAATGTATTGTATCCAGACAGCGAATTGGACTATCTATTACATGCTACTTTTATGTAAGATGAAATCAACTAGTATTTGTTGCAGAAAATAATGACGTCTCTTTCTGATGACTTAAAATAATTATTTATAAAAACAAGTGGTCTCTATTTAAAAACTTATGTCCAGATTGCATCTTTGATGTCTGATACCCAAATGTGAGGAAAGATTATGAGTATCTCCCAGACTAATAAGAAAAAAAATAAGTCTATTTCGTCGATTTGCAAGTCATTAACATCATATATATTTTTAACAATTCTAGCTGCACTGTCTTCAATTTAATTCACAGTTTCTTTAATTCCAAATATCACCTGCATATTATGGGAGGGAACGAAAGTGTGAAGACCTCTGTGAGGCAGCTTTTCTCTTTTAGGAATTTTTAACACTTTTCACTGGAAAATATTCAATAATTAATTAGTTTGGTTCCCATATACAGAAATTTAAGTTATTAATGTGAATCTCCAATCAGTTGTGAAAATATGTATATTTTCTAACGCAAGAATTATACTTAGATATGTGATTATGTGCAGTAATTTACCCATTATTCGGCATCTATGGGGACTGGGAATGGATTTTCTGGTTACATAAAACTACCGGTCGCTTGACAGGAATCCTTACATATAGCCACTACCGAGTCAAGACAGATCTCGCATTGGTTCTTCCCGTACAGGGGGTGGACAAAATAATGGAAACACTAAGAAGCTGAGGAATAGAATTTGTTTGTGTTGGCTACATTGAAAGAACTTAAGTTGGTAACACTGAATGTTCTTCCGTTTTTTTACACTCAGTAGTGCTCGTGTCAGTGCATTCGTGGATGTTTTGCATGACGGTCCGTGTGACAAAATTGGAAAATGGGAAACTTGTCTGATTTGTAAGGACAGATTTTTGGTGTGCGTTTTGTTGTAGCATCTGCAACTAAAACTGCCATCTTATTATCTGTATCGAGAGCGACAGTTTCTAATGTTATGTCGGCATACACGAATCGTGGGAAGACAATATCAGCGAAGAGGAACATTGGGAAAAATTCGAGTACACAAAGAGATCGTCGTATATTGAGAAGGATTGTTTCGAAATCTCACGCAATTACTGAAGCACAAGTGACAGGACAGCAGAACTGAATATTCATCTTGATGACTCTGTTTCAATAAAAACTGTCCGAAGTGAGCTTCACAAATTCAACATCCACGGTACGGCTGAAATTGCTAAACCTCTGATTACTGAAAAAATGCTCAGGTGCATAAATGACTATATCATGACCATGAAAACTGGACATCAGACAACTGGAAACGTGCACGTGATGTGGTCAGATGAGTCGTCCTTCACACTGTTCCCTACATCAGGAAGAGTTTACGTTTGAAGAAGGCCCAGGGAAGCCTACAGTCTGGGATGCCTGGTTCCAACAGTGGAACAGGGGGGAGGTTCTGTGACGGTTTGGGCAGTAATATCATGGTGCAGTATTCTGTTGGTCCCATTATTACCCTTCATTGCCGAATTACTACAAGGGACTACTTGGACAGGCTGAGTAATATGATGAATCTCGTGATCCAGACGCTATTTCCTAACAACGATGCAGCTTTCCAACATGATAATGCCTCCCTTCAAACAGCTGGGACTGTTCAATCATGGTTTGAAGAGCATGAAAGTGAACTTCAACATCTTTCCCATTCAGCATAATCACCAGACTTGAATAATCATTGAGTCAGTTTTAGAGACTAGATTGAACAGATTCCCACCCCCAACATCTCTAAAGCAACTTGAGAATGTGCTTAAAGAAGAATGGTATAAAATTCCGCAAGAAACTGTTAAAAACTTGTATGATTTTATTTCAAGAAGGACTGACGCTGCATTGAAGGCAAAATATGGTCCAAAACCACATTAATAAAGGAACGTGTGCGGTGTCTGTAGTGCTTCATATCGTAACGATATCACAAATTAATCTAATCTCCCCTGCATTGGAACGTGCTTCTGGGAGAATGACGGGTAGCCCTGTCAATTGTGACTCGGGTAACTATTGCATATCAAGTGAAATTGCAAATTTGTCTTATATCTTCAAAAAAATTAAAGTCTACTTTGTCAGAATTATGGAGGCTTGGATACAGGATAATTGGAAGTTACTTTATTATTAAGTGTAAAATTAATTTATAATATTTTTATTTTCTATTTTCTTCCGGCATTTGTTCTAGTTCTTACTCCTTCACTCTAAGAGGCAAAAGACTCATTAATGCAGTTTGTTGTTGCTTTCAGTGGCGGCTCTTTAACTGTGATACACAACACGGTGAAGGTTGCAACTCATTACTGAATGTGATTACGGAATCAATTATTCTCCAGCAGTCATTGCCTCCTTTTGTTTTTCTTTCTAAGGTCGAAGGGACCGCCTCTATTGTCTAGTGGTCAGAGTCCCTGGTTACAGATCCAGAGGTCCGGGTTCGATTCCAGGCACTACCAGATTTTCTGAGAAGTAGTAGGTCTGGAACGGGGTCCACTCAACCTCGTGAGGATAATTGAGGAGCTATTTCAAAACTAACGGCCGTGGGGATTCGTTGGGCTGACCACGCGACACCCGCTATCCGCTAAAACTGGCACTAACTTCGCCGACAAGCGGCGGTCGCTCGGTGGGTATTGTTCGCTTGCTGACTAAAACCACGGAGTCGAAGGTTACTCTTGATGCAGCGTCTGCACATGTTTACTGTTTCCTTTTATACTCAAGTCACATTTCATTCTCTTGCATTTTTTTTTTTAATTTTCGAACTAATTATAGAAACGTTCTCATTATTTATATCTTACACGTTAGCCGGTTTTTGGCACTAAAGTTGTCCATGTGCTTAACTCGTTAAGCACTACGCCATGAAGGAGTATGGGGGAGTGGATGTATAGGCTCACATTTTCTTAACCTCGGCACTAGTTGGAGGTGAGTGGTCAGCTTCACACCCCTGCCGGAAAGAGCCCCGGGGAAAGAGCCTGCAGTACCAAATGGGTAGGAGGCTGGGTGGGCTGTAGACCCGGCCTAGACGATGTGGAGAATAGAAAATTCTTTACTCTACCGGGACTCGAACTCCGACCCGTCCCTCGTCCAGTCGGTAGCCAGTCGTTATACCGCCTGAGCTATCCCGGATGGTACTAAGTGCACTTTATTTATTTGTCATGCCCGTTTAGTGCTGTGTTGCTGGATATGTAGAGACAGTAATACTCGTACATTGTTATGCCTTGGTAAATTTCTTTTCTTGGTAAAGGATATTTGTTAATATTTACACAGCTCTACCAGAATTCGAGATATCAGTATATTGCTGATAATATGTGAAACCGGGGAATCATACAAGTTTCTGCCTGGATAAATATTTGGATAGAAATTATCTGTTCCTGGTGAACAGTAAACCATGTCGAATGTTGTCATTCTTTATATGCAACAATATAGTCATTACTAAAGGGTATAAACCTTATGTACGCATAGCCATTCTTTGATGGGAATAGCACACGACTACCTCTCAACCTCGAAGGTTACACAGTTAATTTGACATTTGTGATACGACGAAATACAACACAAATAACATGTGAAAATAAACCATAGGCAGTGTTATAAAGAATTAAATAAGGACATATACAAATTTAATATTATTTGTAAGTGGACATATAAAGGCAAGCAGTGAAATGGTTGACGGATCGATACACCTGAAGATGGCAGCATACTGCCGAAACATGTAGTGTAGAAGTGGTAAATGGGTTTGTATTCACTTGAAGACTGTTAATATATACAAATTATGAAAACGAGAATGAATCAATAGAACACAACGCAACTTCAGTCTTGTTCAGTTCAACAAACACGCCAGCAGCAGGGCCCGTAGCGACCAGGACAATCGCCTCGGGACCTTCACAAGACAGAAATAGAATCTACAGGCTCTCTTGAGACATTTGCTTCTCTAAAATCGCGAAAAATTATCACGTATTTTTAGTTACTATAAGAATTAAAAACCAAATAAAAAACAGAAAAACAAAAACAATTGCCATAATCTAAAATTGTTGTTACTGAGAGGGGTCCCCATATTTTGATTGCCTCAGGTCACCCACAACTGCAAATCCTGCTCTTGAGGGGAGATAGCAGAGATCAACAATGGAAACAAGACAACAAAGACCAATGTTACGTTAATTGGTCGTGTATAATAAACACATAGAATCAAACCATAACAGTTCTTATTGGTAGAGAGGAAATTATGATTTACAACAGTTATTTCGTTTGAACGAGACATAAGATGAAAAATAATATTCTTGTTGGCTCTGTAACGTGAAGGCCCCAAATGTACCTCTGATTATGACTGCTTCGTTCCACATTCTTTGAAATTTACCGCACAAAATATTTCCTTTGGTTACCCGGTACAAGTAGGCCTTTCCTCTGACTTAGGCAACAGCCGCTTTTCCAAGGATGGTTGCATAATTCGAAATCGCGTAACTCGGCTCTTTCGTGACTCCTTTTGTATCACTGCCTTCAATTTCCAGTTTCAAATAAATTCTATACCCTTCACTTTAGCCATTTATGAATCTTCTTCTTCGCTTTAAACAATATAAATTCGTGTTTTTCAGTCATCACAAAAACGACAAATTTAAAGATTCGCATGGAAATTCGTTAATAGAAGGGTATTCAAATTTTGCGATACTGTGACACACTAAGATAATTCATACATTTACACGGCATCCCACCTATGCCACTCGGTGAAAAGTCCAGTTCAGTACAGTGATACAAGTCTCACTCAGGCTATGCCGTCAGAACAGAAACTTAAGCTCATTTACTTGTATTTTTTACGATTACAGATATAGGATACATAGCGTGGGAATATCATACCAAATACCCACATACCGTCAAACTTGCACATCGTAAGTATTTAACATGTCATTGATACGCGTTAATATATAGTCAAGTTGTAGCATGTTAAAAACACTAACAGACTTATACTCATTTATTGCAGATTGGATACCTGTCTTTGGGCCTCATATACTGGGCTTATTGCGTAGACTTTCTGCAACAAGACCTACGCAACATACACGCCCAATTGTACACTGTAGCAGGATATCACCTTAAAATTAAATTTTAGTCGGGATACAGATCCCTAACCCCTCATATAGTTGTTCATAACTTTTATATTTCTAACATACTTTTAATATGTTTTAATATATTTTCACCATTTTTTTTTATTAAAAATCATGTATTTGCTATTTTAACTATACACTAATCTGAGGCAACGTTTTATGTTAATATTTAATACGACGCGTTGCACTGATAAGGATCCCTATCAGTATTTCAATAACTATACGTATTCCCGCCTGTTGATGGTCATGCATGACCGAAACCTGTCACAGTAAATACATGCACAATGATAGCTTGGTCAGTAACGTTAAGTACATTACATGAATGAGTGGCTGGGGTAAGAAAGGTAAAGCTATCCCTGTAATAAAACTTGGAGGCCCATAACGTTTGTGAAACGTTGAAGCGCTCACATTTTGTAGACAATCGGCTCACAGATGATGGTGAGGTTCAGCCTTACGCATTGGTCTTACCTCCGGGTAGATGCCTGGTACTCATTTTTGTTAAGAGGACGAGTCGACTCAAGGGGCATAGTGCGATTGGAAGGATTTGGTCAATTGCAAAATCCAATGAAAACATCTGGACTCGAACCGACGACCTTCCTGCTTGTACCATAATGCCTCAACTAACTTTGATATTGTGTGCCGACTGGGGATCAATTCCCATTAGGGATTTTAGGATTTTTAACGTTATTATTTCCAAATGACTGTGAGGCCCAGCTGCCCTTCTTCCATCCAGTGGAAATATGGGAACCTTCATTCAAGAGCACAGGCAACTAGGACGTGAAGTTGTCACTAAATTCGAGGTTAAAAAATTGTGAATTGTTGTCTTCATACCCTCTGCATGCTTTCCTGACCTTTTACTTCAGGTAGGAAATACTGCTAACACATTCTCTATATCTGTCTTCATAACTTAGCTGAGCTTTGTGCAGAGGATTTTTGACCCACTTCCATGTATTTGCAATATCATTTTTTAAAGAATGCTACTGTAGAGTTTAGATTTGTTATCTGTAGCTGTTTGCGTGATTTACTTACTTCGTATATAATCAGAACAAATAAAGGAGCAACAAACAACATTTTCTCTCATAAAAAGATGAAATACCGTATTTACGCATGTATAGGCCGCACATTTTTTGGCAAAAATTCAAGAGGAAAACTGGGGTGCGGCTTATATTCGAAATATTCGAAATCACACTTCATTNATGCGTAAATACGGTAGTTTGATTCATTAGTATTGTCACGTGTTGGGTATGTAACGCGACATATAACTTCACGCCGTTCTGGATCTAGCGAATTTATTGCACATTCGCTCTTACATTTACACAATTTACAGTTTCCCAATTACTGTCATCTGCAGTATCACAATTACTTCTCCTGCTTACATTCACTTCGGCGAATGCTAGACTGCAACTGACTGGTTACTCCCTCTCAAATCAAAGTCAAAGCCACATTGCGACTGACGGTCAGTCAGTCAGTAAATCTGGGTGTCGAGCCCCATCTGGGGCTCATGACCAGATATTTATTACCTTTAACAGTTACGGTCTTGTTTCTGTGGGGCTCCCTTTCTGACGAAAGGACGGATCTGCCTTTTGTATGTGCTGCTGGCCCTTGCCAGTACAGTCTTTCTCGGGTCTGAGTCCGTTGGGCCTTAAGAACATATTCTACAGTCTCAGATTTGAGACTAAGCCTTTCGTCGCTTCCTACGACTCGCAGGGTCACGGTGGAGGTATTCGACCCCGCCTCCACTGACGAATAATCCTGTTATGTAGCTTCCGCACTGACAACACAGAAAACAGTTACGTGATAGCATCCACTGTTACGTGACGTCGTGTTTAACGATTGCCTAGCAAGAGTCGCTGTACGGGCTCCCTGTTGCGTGACGCCATTTACAAAGGCGTTTACTTCGGTTTCTCCTGCCAATCTTCATTCCACAAACTGCTCCACAGTCACCCTCACCTATCATCTGGGGTTGGTACAATTGGCCAGAAGTGGCCGCAGTACAAGGGACTTAGTCCCACCCCACTAGCAATATAAAAATAATACTGATAATTATTATGCTTGGAAAATACATGAAGAGAAAGCAGTTAGACACCAATATGAACATGGATATAGCTAAATTTGGATAGCTCTGATTATAAAATTACTTGGAAAACCTGTGTTAGAGTAATAAGAAAATGTATAGAACAGGAAATTTTGTATTATTTAGCCTATCCAAGCCTTGCTAGTAAGAAAGATGTATGAAATTCAATTCACAACTAACAAGCCAAATTTCAAATTTCCAACTTAATGAATGACTGATGGCAGACATTTGGAATCCATCCAGTGATGATTTATCAAGATCAAAACATGTAGTGACATAATATATCCACAATAAATTATTCCTGATACTTTTGTCTGTTTTATTTTATTATTAACTAAATGTTGCATAGACAGTTAGTTTGGTTAGAATATAAAGAATATAATGAGTACTGGCAGATTAATTATGAAGGAGTTAAGCTGGGGCTGACATGTGACACAGACATGGAAATGAAAATTATGTACAAACTTTTGGTGATCCCATTGTTGATATATTCATATTTAAAATTTGGAGGGAGTGTGTGACGTTAACACTAAAAAGGGTATAGGATAATATATTATGGTGATAGATATTAAATGGTTCGGGAAAAGTTTTGCTAAATAATGTGAAGTCTTGTCATTTTCACTTTCATTTTCATTCTAGGGGACAACACTATGGAAGACACGGAGCCTTTTAGAGAAGTGTCTTCTGGTACTTACTGCTGTACTCTTGCTCCTTGTGTTTCTTCTTGGAATGTTACTCAGTGCCACAGGGAGAGGAGAACCAGCTCTGCAAGTACTACATGTTGGACCACATACTGCAGGTGATGAAAATGTTAATGCATCATCAATCTGTGATGGTGACTAATTTAATAATAATAATAATATCTTTATTGCTTCAAGAAAAACGTACAGGCGACACAATCACCACAGTTGTAGAAGCAGTCCCAAATAGTATATTATAGTAAAACAGTTGCAATAATACAACTTAGTCAATGCTTAGTATAAAAATCAATAATAACTAAAATACGGACATTATAAGCAATTAATAATAAAAGTATACATACATTTATACAGAGTCTACAAAAACTACTACACATAAGTGTATCTAAATAAAACAAATATTCACCTGTATTCTATTTCCTTTCTTTTGACCACTCCAAGTATTCATTTATCGAATAAAATGATTGATTTAAGAGAAAATTATTTATAGCTAACTTAAATTTTTTATAATCACTCGATAATTTTCTTAAATTATGTGGCAGATTATTAAATATTTTAATACCCATACAACACACACTATTCTTATATTTAGCCAAATTTATCAATGGCACGTGTAAGCTGGTACTTTGTCGTGTATTTATGACATGTATTTCAGCATTTAGTGCAAATAAATGCATATTTTTCACCACCAGAAGCAAAAGCGAAAGTATATATTGAGAATAAAAGGGCAATATGTTTAAATATTTAAAAAATCCCCAGCAAGAGGCTCTAGAATTTACATTCATAATACTCCTTATAATTCTTTTTATAATTCTTTTTTTATAATTCTTTTATAATTCTATAATTCTTTTTGTTGTTATTATTAGTGATTGGCTATTGGATATTGGCTGGACAACCAGAGTTGAATTCCTATTCTGGGGCAGGATTTTCTCTTCATCACCATATCCACACCATCTCTGACATCCTTCCAGTCTATCCAATGGGCTTTTCCCCATGACCACAGAATGAAGTTGACAATTCATTTCCATCTCATACTGAGTTTAAGAACGCATGGAATTTTGCCAAAGCTGTTTTGGCATGGTGCTTAGGCACAGGGACAAATTTACTTATCATCATAACCATTACCGTCGTTGTTGTTTATAGCTGACTGCATTAAACCATAAATATATGAAATGAAAAGTTCTAGGAAGAAGCTGTGATACATGCTTTCAGTATTTATGACAAGGCTAGTGGAAACTGCAAATTGTAATTCTACAGTTTAATAACTCATTCATTTCAATGTATAATTTCCTATGTTGTATATTTACCTGCATGTTGAAAATAGTTTTAAGATTTATATGTTCAGCATTACCATTATTTCACCACATTCAGGGGTGCAAAGTACGTCTAAAATTATCGAAATCTCAAAATCAATTTTTCATGATCACAATACTTTCTAATATTACATGTAAGAGAAAATAAAATTACAAAAGTAAGATGATCTCTGGTGGCATGTTAATACTATATATCACGAAACATTGACATTTAATTCAAAAGTTATTGGGGATATAGAAAGATAATTATGCTACAAGCCTATCTATCCTTATAAAATAAAAATAAGGAAAGTAGGCTAATAATGAACACCTGTCAATATATGTTTTCTATATACCAGCACTTGATTTTCTTATTATCCAGACATTATTTATAGAGTAAGTCCCCGTGAAGTTTAATGATATTGTACAAATTGGCCTCAAATATGTCATAAATTGCACATTTTAATAACAAACTGGCTTGACATGATCATCTTTATTTCAGATTTAATTTTTGCAAAAGACCGTCTCGAAATATAAAGTATTTGTAATGATAAAATTAATGGTGAATAGTTTGAAAACCATAGTGGAATTTTGAAAGAGCTTCAGTAATTGAAAATATTCCTATATATTCCTTGAGGAAGAAGTTCAAGTGGGGGTAAAGAGTAAGGGTTTCCTGGTGTTGCACTGTTGATTTTATAATACAGTACAATTGGAACTTTAAAATAGTGCTTGTGCTTGCATAATTTAAATTGACCTTGTATTATTATAATTTTCATTTATTTTTTTTTAAATGGGGATTAGCCCTAGTAATATAAAATTATTCCTGGCTAATGCTTAATTCTATTATTTGTTTCAGATGAACAGTACTGTCTTACAGTCCCATGTGTAACAGCAGCTGCATCTATGCTCAGCTCTTTGGACATGAGTGTTAATCCATGTGATGATTTTTATCAGTATGCCTGTGGAGGTTGGGTGAGGTCAAATCCGATACCAGATGGAAAGTCTATGTGGGGCACTTTTGGCAAGCTTGAGCAACAAAATCAGTTAGTTGTCAAGAATGTTTTAGGTCAGTACTATTGTTATTTGTCTCTATTTGGTTATTTAACACATGGGGTTCCGAATCATTATTACAGTCTTCTATTCAGCAAATGGATAGTGAATTGTGGATTGTCTCTACCACAAGCAAATTTTCTTTCTTATTTACCATCACTGACAAAATGAAGTTGTCGAATTCTGTCCTGATAGATGAAATATAATATTTTCTATAAGAAGGAAGTTAATTCTTTCCAGCCTTTTCTCTATATTATGAATTTAAGTTTGTATTAAATGTAATAGTTCTTATATACATATATATATATATACATATATATATATATGTTCTTATATACAAAAATTCAAAAGCTAAGAGAAACTTAATTACTTTCTTCTTTCCTTTTTCTTTTGCTCTGAACTATTTTTAAACAAAGCAAAAGGGAATCACTTTATTAGTACATATAAATTAACTATTTGTACAAGAGTTCATGATTTTTTGTATCAAATTTTCAATACACATCTGTAGTATATAGCTATGAGTTTATAATAATACAACGGTTTTCACTCTATTCATTGTCCACTCTTACAACCTCAGCAGTATATTAATTTTTCATTGTTTTATCAGATGATTGTGTGGGTGTGATTGTGTGCATGTGTGTATGGACTTGCTGGTCATGAAATTGTGAGTGAAATATATTTTAATAAACTAAAAGCCACAACAATGTTTCTCTGTGATTTCTTACTCTTAATCCAGCCACTGGAAAATTTAGATGGTAGCCACTCTTATATTTTTCAGAAAAACCGTTTATTGAACTGAAAAGCAAGGCAGAAGAAAAAGCAAAAATGTATTACTTATCTTGTATGGATTCCAATGAAACAATTGAGGCCCTGGGAGCAAAACCAATGCTAAATTTGTTGAAAAAAGTGGGTGGTTGGAACATATCAGCTGTAGATGGAAAGCCATTTAATGTATCAGCATGGGATCTCCAAAATACCATCCAGATTCTGCAGAATCGTTACAACATGGGAGGTTTGTTCTCATGGGCTGTAGGAGAAGATGACCGCAACTCCAGCAGACATGTAATACAAGTAAGAATTTAACACTGAAGTTTTTTATGCAATATGCTCTATTATACCATAGTTCTGATTCTGTAAGTTGACAGAAATATAAGATTGTGTAGGGTTCAGGGGAGGGTGCAAAAAATTACACATATTATTTTTTAAAATGCATGAATATGACACCATCTTCATGTGTGAAATTAATTGCAGTGATTGGGTATATAGTTTATATTCCTGGTTTTCTGTGGTGCCATATTCTAATAAGGTTTCATGTCTCACATCATATTGTGTCTTGAGGTATATTTTGCTATGCTTCTTAGTAACCAAACTGTCTTTTCTCATGAACTATTTGAAGATAGTCAATTTTTCATAGTACAGTTACTTACTTTGCTGGAAGGGCCGCACCGCAGCTCAAGCGGTTAGTCACTGGATTCCCACGGCGGTGGTCCGGGTTCGATCCCGTGTCTGGTGAAGTGGGATTTGTGGTGAACAAAGTGGCGTTGGTGCAGGTTTTCTCAGAGTCCTTCGGTTTCCCCTGCCAATCTTCATTCCACCAATTGCTCCACAATCACCATCACCTATCATCTGGGGATGGTACAATAGGCCAGAAGTAGCCGCAGTACAAGGGACTTAGTCCCACCCCACTAGCAATATAAAAAAAAATAATTTGCTAGAAACATGCCAGCAGCCAACAAAGTATCAAAGAGACTTGTCTAGAGATAACATTCTAGACTTGTATTTGGTAGGAGCTTGGTTCAAATCTCGGCTGGGATACCAGCTATCCTGACTGAAGTGTTTCATTGTTTTCCTCATTCTCTCCAGAAAATGCTGGGATAGTACCTCAATTAGTCCAGAACCTCTTTTTTTCCAAATACTTTCCAAATTGTCGTTCATTGGGTACATTTTAAAGGGTTCTGATGATGGTGTAATAACTCTTAGAATTACTAGGTTTATGGACTTCTTCCAGCATCTGGTATTTTAGAAAGTACAGTATCATTCATTAGTTATACTATCATAAGATGGTACCAATATTGAAACTGCAAGTGTTGTTAAATAACCAATGAGGAAGAGAACGTGCATAACAGAGTATCTGGTATTAGAGCCTGAAGGTTTTAACACTGTCTGTATTCCAAAAATTTATTTCCTTAAGGTCAATTTTTAAACAAATATTTTTGCATCTCCATCTAGATCATAAGTGTTTCATTACTTATTCTAGCCAATTCTCTGCCTCTCTCATCCACCTAAATGTCAAGCCCATAGGTATCTTTTTTATTACACAGACCTACTTGACCATGCATAATTATGCAATGGTAATATAATTGATGTTTTTCTAAGGAGCAATAGCCTCTGCTGTTAGTAAGTCTGGTATTAATAATGTTAACAAAAACGTACTTCGCCTGCATTTTCATTGCTAATGCAAGTTATCTACATCATTTCAACAGTTGAAATTAAAGCAAAAATGCTACAAATATGAACGAAAATATGAAATAAAAATGAACTTGAATGCAGATGTTGAACATCGCCTTACAAAAGTTTTTGTTCAACATTTCATTATTTATCTTAGACTATGTCATCACCTCATAGTTCAATATTTTTCTCATTGTTAATGCTGTTTTCTTTTTTACAAATGAACCACCAACTTTGCACATCATATTCTCTAATATCTTTCAAATACCCTTCAGTGGCTATAGGTAAGTGTTTACATGGTTTCAGTGACTTGACTCTGCCCTCTTTCCAACCCCCGCCCTCTGCCCATTCCTTTGTTCTTAGGAGTCTCTTGGAAGTGGTAAAAGCCATTTATATCACCACATATAATAACTGTTAAGTAACAAGATCATAGAACATGATTTGCAGGATTTAGTTCTATAATATCAGATCCTCTAAACTCATACATCAGGGCATGAAGCTGACCACTCACCTCCACCTAGTGCCAATGTGAAGTATGTTGGAGCTATATCTGTACTCCCCCATATGTCTTCATGCTATAGTGATTATTTAATTAAATACAGAGACAACTTTTTTATACCTTAACTGATACAGTGCATTATTTTTTCACAGATTGATCAAGGAGGTCTGACACTTCCAACAAGAGATAATTATTTGAACAAAACAGCAAATCAGAAGATTCTAGCTGCATATTTGGATTATATGACAAAGGTAATTTCTGTTTATACAGTGATTATTTCTTCTGATATAGAATTTCATAGCATCTTGTCATAAAACAAAAGAGAACCTGAATTAACGGGTTGAAATTTTTAATCTCTATCAACCCATCTCCACTGAGGTGCATTTGCTAGCAAATCTAATGAGGTTAGTAATCCTGTAAGAATGAATAATTTTTGAATCTGTGGAATGAACCTCAACTCTTTTAGGATGAAAATTAATGTTAGTAAAATATTTTAATCTACATAAATAGATGTATAAATGTGTACTTATGTAAGTGTATTTACTTGCATTAGCTTGTATTTTAATAAGGTTATGAGGAAATATGTTTTGACTTTATGGTGTGTTTCTGTAAAAGTTCATCTCACACAACTAACGGATTCATGTAACTGGCACACCTGATTTCTCACGCATACCAGGCAGGAATATTATAAAATAATGTAAAGATAAAATTGTGTCTGTGATTAATTATTTAAGCACCATTCTTGACCTTCGCACTAGATAGAAGAAAGTGAGTGGTCAGCTTCATGCCCCAGTCACTTTACTCCCATAGAAAGAGCCCCCAGTAAACACTGTAAAAGGCTAGGTGGCTCAACAGCAAGTCTGGTTTCTGTAAAAATGGAGAAATCCCTGCCCTTCAGCCCATAACCCATCACTATACTGGCTGAGCTACTCAAGCTCATAATACAAGTACATATAAACTAATATGTGTTGATGTAGATTGGAGTTCTACTTGGAGGAGAGGAGAATTCAACACGTGCACAGATGGCAGCAGTGATTGCATTTGAGACACAAATTGCAGAAATCACCTCTCCTCCAGAAGATCGCCGTGATGAAGAGAAACTTTATCATCTTATGCCACTTAGTGAAGTGCAGCAGACAGCTCCGTTTGTAAGTGTTTTGATAAAGGAATTATTGATTAGTGAAACCTGGCGATTTTAGTTCATATTTGACCTGTGGTATAAGAAATCTCTCCATTGCTAGAGAAAATATTCCCTCTATACTTCATGGGAACTGCAAATTTCATATTGACTTACCATAAGGGAAATGAAACTATATACTGCCTTCCACAGAAATGTAATATGTAAATGCATTTATATGTGTGTGCATGTGGCAGTTTGCACAACTTTTGTAGTTAGCTGCATGTTGTATATCTTGTGTATAAAATAAATCCCAAAATCTGTAGTGTAAGCTGTAAACATGAGATGAACTGTGATTAGAGTTGTGTACACAAAGAAAATAGATGTATGCCAAATGCATATTCTGATTTAGGATGTGCATGAGAAGACCTGTAGTTAAATATTTGATGAATATCTTCTAAGTCCTGTTTACTGTATGTGTTGTGTGTATTAGGGTGCTTATATTCTTAACATTAAAATGCACAACTGTAATTACGTTTAAAAAAGAATGCAGATTCTTTTTTCTTGGACCATTTAATAATGGTAAGGATGCACTATAGTTGGTTAGAAACTATACATGTGTGACTGGAGATTCTTGTTAACTCATTTCCTGAAACTTTTTAAGATTGTAATGTCAAAAGCTGGCAATTACATGCATAGAATCCAGATTTACGTTTTCCTGGTGTAAAAGGTGCCCCATTTTGTGTTCATTTTTTGTGGGCCCAACAGAAATCAAACTTAAATACCCTATAATTTCCCCCATATTTTTGTCTCTCTTTTTGTGTTTTACCCGCATTTATTGAACAAAAATCTAGACCCTACATACATACATACATACATACTTACACACACACACACAAATACATACCTTGATTTAGCATCATATTTACCTGAATTCAAGGCAAGGTCTCCCCCCCCCCTTGTTTTCAGCTCTAAGTAATGAAGGGTAGTCTTAACTTTTGGTGCAAAAAATATAGAATTCCTCAAGCTTTGAAGAAATGTATATCTGTCCAAAATAATTGCGTGAATTAGTGAAATTAAAGTAATTCTGTGTTGGACAGGAGAGCTAATTTAACCAGTATTTAGTGTCTTCATTTGACATCAATTTAAGCATAAATTTCATGTAAATTTCCTGCCCTGAAAACTTCTTTTGAGCTGGATGTCCTTATTATGTTACTCATAAAGAATATGAAATTAGCTACTCGTGACTAATAACCTCTGAACCAAAAAGGTATTAATATTGTCGTGTATCGGGCGTATATCGTGACAAATAAATTCTCGATGTATTCGATGTGGCGAATTTTATTTCACATTCTCTCTCACAATCACCCAAATTACAATCTGACGGTTACTGCTATCTGCAGTATCACAAATAGTACACTCCAAATGCCACAATACAACTGACTGGTTGCTGGCTAACTCGGCGGTAGGTCCAGGACTCGCTGACTGACTCCGTACAACTCGACTCGGCGACTGTTACAGTACAACTCGGTGGCTGTCACAGTACAACTGACTGTGAATAGCCTTCGCTTCTCCCTATGTAGCCTCGATCGGACAATACGGCCACGTAATAGGCACCCTTGTTGCTAGCCACGCTGTCCGGCTACGTCACCGCTGTTGATTCGCCTTGCATAGTTACCCGGTTACGGGGCTCGGCTATCTTCGGCTCCGCTCGTGACGTCACCGCGCATGGCTGCCAGGATGCGGGGTGATTACTCGCCTATTATGCGAGCGTTACGTTACCGCTGAGGGGTGGGAGGGGAGCGCTGACTCACCCGCCGCGTCACTGCTGGTGTGGGGAGGGGCTCGGCTTTGCGCAACATGTCACAATATGGCTACCACAATGTTAGATTAATTGTGTTGGTAGTAGTTCAGGCGGGAGGGAGTGTAAAAGATAACTAAAGATCAACTTATTTCAAAAGGTTATGCATGTTAGTTCTGAATCTTGACTGGTGTTCTCACATGGGCATGCAATATATTTCTTCCTTAATCAAGTATTGAACATGAGAAGAAAACCTTCTGGCCAGAATTTGAGTTTATTATGCAGATGAATATTGAAATGAGAGAGTGACATTGACATTGACAAGCTGATGAGTCTCTACTATGAGAAAATGCAGAAATTCTGTAAGATGAAAGAAATGGTGGAATTATTTGTCACACCTTAGAAGCATAAACGTTAAAACAAAATTGATATTATTTTATATACATTTCAGATCAGACCTGAAATCGATGTTATGGACTTCAATTAACCATTTTCTTATAAGATTTCCTTAATGTTTCAAGTAAAGTAACAACAATGCAGGCAATTCATAGAAATGTTTGATTGAAAATTGTATGACTGTCTATGGTGTTTTTTATGTTGTTTC